ATTCCCTGTGCCATACAGTCAGACCTTGTGGTTTATTCATACTACACATATACTAGTTTGCATCTGCTAATCCCAAACTAGCAAACCTTCCATTCCCTATCTTCCTACTCTTTGGCAACCAGAAATCTGTTCTTGGCATCTGTGAGTTGTTCCTGTTTCATAGATATGTTCATTTGTGTCGTATTTTAGGTTCCACATACAAGTGATAGCATATGGTATTTGTCTTTCTCTTTCCGACTTACTTTGCCTAGTATGATAATCTCTAGGTCCAGAAGATGGTATTTCTTAAACTGTCTATGCCTTCAAGAAGTCTTGGGTAAACACGATTGATCTGTAATTACTCAACTGGAGAATTCACTTAGCCAAACTGTAAACTGTACCTAGCATATCTTGCAAAGCAGAAAAAAATATTCTAAAACTAAGCAGGAATTCAGGAGTCCAAGAACCTGGTTGTAAATCCTGGCTCCATCATTACTACCAATTTACCTTGAACAGGTTATTTAACTTGGCTCTGACCATCCCCTTGTCTGTAAACTGCAAATAATAAAAGTGTTTACCTCCTAGGCTTCTGTGAGGATTAACTGTGTGAATCCTAAAGGACCTAAAACACTGCTTTGAGTTCAGTGTTAGCTACTCTCATTATTATTTTAACTATTAGTTTAGCTCAGTTCAGTGCAGTCTCTCAGTTGTGTCCGACTCCCTACAATCCCATGGACTGCAGCACGCCAGACATCCCTGTCCATCACCAACTCCCAGAGCTTGCTCAAACTCATGTCCATCAAGTCAATTATGCCATCCAACCATCTCATCCTCTGTTGTCCCTTTATCCTCCTGCCCTCAACCTTTCACAGCATCAGGTTGTTTTCCAGTGAGTCAGTTCTTTGTATAAGGTGGCCAAAGTATTGGAGTTTCAGCTTCAGCATCAGTCCTTCCAATGAATATTCAAGACTGATTTCCTTTAGGATTGTCTGGTTTGATCTCCTTACAGTCCAAGGGACTCTCAGGAGTCTCCTCCAACACCACAGTTCAAAAGCATCAATTCTTCAGTGCTCAGCTTTCTTTATAGTCCAACTCTCACATCCATACATGACTACTGGAAAAACCATAGCTTTGACTAGATGGACTTTTGTTGGCAAAGTAATGTCTCAGCTTTTTCACTATCCTCTTTCACCTTCAAGAGGCTCTTTAGTTCTTCTTTGCTTTCTGCCATAAAGGTGGTGTCACCTTTGTATCTGAGGTTACTGATGTTTCTCCCGGCAATCTTTGATTCCAGGTTGTGCTTTGTCCAGCCCAGCATTTTACATGATGCTCTCTGCATATAAGTTAAATAAGCAGGGTGACAATATATAGCCTTGACGTACCCCTGTCCCAATTTGGGACCAGTCTCTTGTTCCATGTCAAGTTCTAACTGTTGCTTCTTGACCTGAATACAGATTTCTCAGGAGGCAGGTAAGGTGGTCTGGTATTCCCATCTCTTTAAGAATTTTACAGTTTGCTGTGATCCACACAGTCGAAGTTTTGGCATAGTCAATAAGGCGCAAGTAGATGTTTCTCTGGAACTCTCTTGTTTTTTTCAGTGATCCAGCGGATGTTGGCAATTTGATCTCTGGTTCCTCTGCTTTTTCTAAATCCAGCTTGAACATCTGGAAGTTCACGGTTCACATACTGTTGAAGCCTGGCTTGGAGAAATTTGAGCATTACTTTGCCAGTGTGTGAGATGAGTTTTTTAAAAAAACTTAAATATGACTACTATATGATAAACTTCAGGATAGAAGAGGAAAAGCATTTGCTCTGGGACCGTAAGACAAGAGTGAAGGCTGTATTTTCTGATTCTAGAAGATACTGACTATGTGACAAACAAGGGAGTTTGTTTGAGCTTTTGGGCCCCAGTGTAAAACATGCATGATTCCATACAGTCACATTGTTATTTTCATAATTTAAAAGTGCATAATACGTTGAAAAACTTGGTGAAGTACAAAGCACTAATGCAAAGCTTTTGTTGTTATTTGTATACATTGTCTAAATCAGTCATTGTTCTGAACCCACATCATCTACAGGTCTTGGAAGCAGCATGTCCTAATATTGTCTTTGTTTAAAGAATAGTTTCCACTTTTGAGGAAAGACCTGAAGGATAAGGACCTGGCAAGTGTGCCTTGTGGACAACTAGGAAAAAGCAAAAGGGTAGCATGTGCCAAGGCCCTGAGACAGCAGACACTGTTCCTGGCATAATCCAGGAGGCCATGGATCATGTTGCTATGTTCTTTTTTTGGAAAAAAATTATTCCTCTGATAAATGTTTTATACTCAATTTTCAATTATCATGGGACTAATGTCCCCATATTGCAGGCTTTTGACAGGGACACATGTATCGTGGTCTTCAAGCTTTCATAGATAAGACTGCTCTTTTCTATGCTGTTTTTGTTGTTGTTCAGTCATTAAGTCATGTTTGTCTCTTTGTGATTCCTCGGACTGTAGCACACTAGGTTCTTCTGTCCTCCCCATCTCCCAGAGTTTGCTCAAATTCATGTCCCTTGAGTAGGTGACGCTCTCTAACCATCTCATCCTCTGATGCCCACTTCTCCTCTCGCTGCCCACTTCTCTTTCAGTCTTTCCTGGCATCAGGGTCTTTTCCAATAAACTGGCTCTTTGCATCAGGTGGCAAAGTATTGGAGCTTCAGCTTCAGTCCTTCCAATGAATATTCAGAGTTGATTTCCTTTAGGATTGACTGGTTTGATCTCCTTGCAGTCCAAGGGACTCTCAAGAGTCTTCTCCAATGCCACAGTTCAAAAGCATCAATTCTTCTGTGCTCAATCTTCTTTACGGTCCAACTCTCACAACCTTACATGATTACTGGAAAAACCATAGCTTTGATTGTCCCTTATTGATGCTTCACATTGTATTTGTTTATTTGTGTTACATATGACGTTTACAGCCCAGTAAGAAGACCTTTCAGACCAAACCATTTATCTCCCTTCCCTCAGAAAGCTGTAAACCAGAAACACAGCATCAAGAGACGGAGGGTAGAACTGTGTTTGCACAAACTCTACCTCCAAAATTACGTTGCATTGTGCTGAGAATTGAGTCTGTCTGATTTTGCAGGGAGTGAGGAGTAGCGAACAGTTTGAAAGTGGGAGAATCATATAGCTGTCACTTTTCTCTTTGCCTTGTGAAGCGGGTGTTCATTCCTTTTCAAAAGTCATAATCGAAGTATAGTATATACATGTACTTAAAGCCCAGTTGAATTTTTCAGCACAAGAGTTATGAAAACTCTCTCTTCCCAATGGAAGACTTCATCTCTTCCAGAGTTTAAAAAAAAAAACAAAAAACCCAAGGTTTGGATGTCACTGAATCAAACCTCTATATCATACTTCCTAGTCCCAAATTCTACAAATAGTGTATCTGTAACAACCTTAGACTCTCTAACACTGCAACTTATTATACAACTTCAACTGTCAACGTAATTAACATTAGACATGTGTTACTGTTGTTGCTATTGTTCTGTCCCTAAGTCATGTCCGACTCCTTGCCACCACAAGGACGGTAGCCCTCCAGGCTTCTTTGTCCTTCACTGTCTCCTAGAGTTTGTTCAGATTCACGCCCATTGAGTTGGTGATGCCATCCATCTCATCCTCTGTCATCCTCTTCTCCTCCTGCCCTCAATCTTTCCCAGCACCGTGGTCTTTTTCAATGAGTTGCCTCTTCACATCAAGTGGCCAAAGCTTCAGATTCAGCATTAATCCCTCCAGTGAATATTTAGGGTCAATTTCCTTTGGGATTCACTGGTTAGGAAAGCTCAATTATCCTTTTATTCATGGAATGCCAGATTCCTGGGAAAAGACAAGTCACCAGTAGAAGGCTTAGCACTACTCTTCCAAAAGACTTTTTAAATGACCTCCTTAAAATAATTTTGTTTTCTGCTGTGTAAAAGGAGATTTATGTTTAATGAAGCTTTTAATGAAGACATCACAGAAAGAGAATGCCAATAGAATCTAATTTTTAAACAAGAGAATCTAATATTGAGAAGTATTTCAATATCCTGGCCTTTGCCAAGTTATAAATAAAACACACAATTCAATTATTGTTCTGCACAAAGAACAAAGTCACATTAATTTTCCTCAAGATGGTTATTAAAGAGATAAACAGTATGTTTTCCCCCCGATTATGTCAAGGAGATGTTTGTTCCCAAGTTTCATTGGCTACTCATAGAAGACAGGTCTGTCCTGTCATTAGCTCATATCTTTCAGCAAAGATGGGCCAGAAAGAATTGTTGGATTTGTTCATGGCCTCAGAAAAGGTTCTTTGTTCTTGAGGGTCTTTGAAGTAGGCTCTCAACCATTTCTATTCATCAGTGCAAAGCAGAGTATTCTTAGGGCTTACTCTTTTAAAAACATTTACCTGTTCATTTAAAGCAGTAGTCTGTTCTTGTTCTAAGAAGAAGGAGTTAAATCAAAAGAATAAAGGGAAGAGGGGCAAAAATATTTTTTTACAGAACATGAAAAACAGCACCAAAAATAAAGCTTGAAGGGAAGTAGATCAAAGAGAACAGTGCAAGCTATAAAGGAAGCAGAAAATTGCAAAAATAACAGTAATGGAGAAACAAATTGATGGGCATCAAAATGAATACAAATAAGGAAAGGGAAAGAAAAAATTTTAAAGAGATCAAAGACAGAGAGTAGAAAATAGGGAAGTATACGCTGTTGTTTTTATGCACAATTAATTTTCATAATTGTATCAGCTGTATAACAAAAGCACAAGTATAATTTTAAAAGAAGATCAACAAATAGTAAGTGGACGTGTAAAAAGTAAGTCTTTTATTGACATGGCCAAACTGACATGCATGGAACTGTTGCTATACATTGCTTAAGTTAGACAAGCACAGAAAATTACTCTAAACTCACAAACAATGGAACTATTCTTTTAATTAAAATACAAATGTTAATTAAATACACACATTGATATCTGTGTCTTATTAATCTTTAGAAATGCATGTCTTATACAAAAATGGGAGCTACATATCATTATTTGTAGATTTTATTATGACTCCAAACTTTAGGCAAACGTTCAGAAAATCAGGAAATTGTTTCCAAGAAGGTAGACAGAATAAAAATAAATATATCTTTATCACATCTAGCTACTTTTTGATAAACACATGTTATGTGTGTGCTCAACCTTCTGGATTTGTAGGTCTGTTGTCTTTAATTAATTGAATAAAATGATACTCCATAAGACTTCAATCTTGATCTTACATTTCACATAATATTTATAGTTTGCCACTTTTGACTTATCTACTAATAACTTCACCATGCCTTGTAGGCGTAAAACTTTATGCAATTAATTACCATAAAAACTTAGAAGATCTGGGCACTTTTTTCATAGCTTCAGTAGAAGTGTTTCTTTTCTCTGGAAGACAAAATGAAGAATAGAAGAATACTACCATTTGTTAGAACAGTACAACCCCAAAGTGAAGAAAGATGCCGACTTACCATATGACTGGGAACTTCTGATCCATGCTACATGAATGTATTTTAGACCACCCATTGTTTTCAGAAATGTAAAAATACCTTTCTACTAAATTGAGTAAATGTGTCCACCTGGAGCCACATTTGCTTGTGTGCACACCGCCCAATTCTCATTTGTATGTACATATGCACAAAATGTTTTTAAATGATATTTTTAAGAAATTAACATTCTGATTATAGCACACAAGCCTGTCTGTCTAAAAACATTCCTTATATGACTAAATTGCTCAGAATACTCAAAGAAATAGACTTTGGTAGAAATTCCACAAAAAACAAATTATAGCTTCAAGAGAAAAAGAAAGTCACCATAAACTTATGACTGGGCATTGTTAGCATACATAAGTAGTGTCTTTCCATCAGAGGATATTCAATCCTGTTATGATCAAGTGAAGAAATTCACTGAAAATTGCTGGCATTATTCCATTTGTGGTAGGTGGGATTAGAAAGGTCGGTGAGCACAAGGTAGATTTATCATTATTCTGCATTCTCTTTGGGAATTATCTATTGAAGCATTAGATACAGCAAAAATATTAGGATATTTCTGTGTGATGTATTTCTGTATGAGATGTATGTTTTCAGTTCTGTCAGAGGAAGGAGGGGATGCAATTGGCAGAAACATATCTCTGCCATGGGGATCCAATACTACAAGTCAGCTGCTTTCATTTCTCCCCCCCTATTTTAATCATGAGGGGCTTCCCAGGTGGCGCAGTGGTAAAGAATCTGCCTGCCAGTGCAGGAGACCCAAGAAATGCGGGTTCGATTCCTGGGTCAGGAAGATCCCCTGGAGTAGGAAATGGCAACCCACTCCAGTATTCTTACCTGGAAAATTCCATGGACAGAGAAGCCTGGTGGGCTATAGTTCAAGAGGTCGCAAAGAGTTGAACAATGACTGAGCAAACACACAACAACACACACTTTTCACCATGATGCTCTCAAGGGCAGCAGCTTTGTGATCCTAAGAGCCAAGTCCAGTCACCAGCTGTAGCTCGTGAAGGTACCATGAGAAGGATGAGGAATCTGGGACAAGAGTCCTCACGCACCAGAAGAGATGGAGTTGGTGGGAAGAGCTAGAGAAGTGTGTTGGCCATGAGCAAACACCGTTAGGGACGCCTGTAGCCCCTCATCAACCCCCGAGTAATTAGGTCGCAGCAAAAAGGAGCAGAGGAGGCCGCTATAAATAATCGGGAGGTGGGTTTTTTTTTTTTAAGTGGCCAACACAGTTATCATCTCTGGTTACGAAAAGGAAGGTGTTATTCAAAATATGATTATGAGATGAATTATTTGAAGGCTTCTCTAATGAAAAGCATTCTCTAGGGAAGATTAAATAGAAGTTGTGTCCATTGTCTGATAGTGAGCTTGTAGTTCTCATTGTCTTCTTTCTAAGCCTCCATAAATCCACGGGAAGCTTCTGTTTATCGATTTTATTTGCAGAGTGCACTCGGGGCATAAAGTAATTTGATTTTTTTTTTAATGGGGTTTAGGGTCTGCCCCTATAGGGTTATAACTTACCAAGCATAAGAGCCAACACATAAAAACAAACATGCAATTTAAAGAGAGCAAGGCTCAAGATGGGAGAACCTGGGAAGCCAGTAAGGTAGTGGGATTACACTCACTCTCCCATATATCTGCTGGCCGGAAACCTCCCGGGAAGTGGCATTTTGGCTGCCTTTCATGCATGGCATCACCGAACTGTTTTGACAAATGCATCAAGCCCACAAAAAACGAGCACAATAGTCATTTAGCAAATAAGAGGGGAACAAGAGAATTTCCTTTATTGTTTATCAGAGCTAAAAATGCTGTTAATGTTACCCATCTCTGCAACTTGTGTAAAATTTGTCCTTTCCCCATCAGTGTCAGATGCCCAGACTGATCAATGCCGCTAATGTTGTCCCCAATCCAACGCCTCCCGTGTGTGCAAACTCTGCGACTTGCAGGCTGTAAACTGAAGAATAATGCCTGTGGTTTTATACTTCTTTTACAGAGAATCTTTTTTTTTTCATTCTGAGCATTCGTGGGTAATTAAACTTTATAGAAGAATGTTTTTTCTTTAGCAATCCCATTAGGGTTCTGTTGCACTTGGCCGTTGCCTCATAAAAGAAAAAAAAAAGCTGTCACATCAGTGCCTTCACTACTTTGTGAGGCTTCTTGGCTTCTTGCTTCACCGTGAGGTTTTGTGATGAGAAAGGTCCATACTTGAAATCACAAACACAGAGGCAGGGAAGCAAGGCACACAGAAGAATGCCATGTACGGGGACCATAATGCACAGAGAGCTAAGGAAGGACTGGCCTTTCTGCCTTAGTGGAAGGCAGATGATGAAGGGCCTTTGTGAGACTTTTTGGCGATGACATAACCATGACAGTTACATAAATACAGAAACTTGTGTGCTCGGCTCTGCAGTGTAATAGCCGCACCTTCAAAGGAGGCAGGGTAGCTGTGAACTGCTGGGGACACCAGGGATACACCTGGCAGTCAGCAGTCAGAATCCTTTGAAATGGAGTCTTAAAGGCAGAGCATCAGAGAGCATCTTCATGATCTGCAAACAGTCACACGTGGCTGCAAGCGAAAGGGCAATCTTAGCCTGTTGGGAATGGACCAGTGGGCAGTCTCTTTGGTGACACCTACACTAATGGAAAAATATTACCACCCATATCAGTGTCTTTGAACATAGATGCAAGGTTGCCTCTGGGCATCAGACTCCTCACGGGGAAGACTTTTGCCTGACCCATCTATCATTCAAAATGCGACAGTCCAGAACTCAAAAAACCTAGTACAAGCCTGGGTGGGAGGAGAGTATAGGGGGGAATGGACACATGTATACGTATGGCTGAGCCCCTTCACTGTTCACCTAGAACTATCACAACATTGTTAGCCAGCTATACCCCAATACAAAAAAAAAAAAAAAGATGAATACTTCAGATAAAAAACAAAAATTCCTAGTGCAAGAGTGCTGGTCCAGGAAGTCTGTAATCACTGCTGGGTTAATAGTCCACATCACATCCTGTGGTCAGCTTCTTGGAGCAGGCAGACATAATGTAGGTTGTAATGTAAGCTAACCATTCTTGACAGCTCACTACGTGCTAAGTCTGATCTAACCCTCACAGAGGCACTTAAAAGTTTGGTATAGAACTGTCCCCGTGGACAAAGTCCCCAAAGAGGGACTTTGGGAAGCTAATTAACATGCCCAGCAATGAAGTGATGAATCAACAGCACTCAACCATCGACTGATAGTTCCATGTGCGTTAATTCCTCAGTCATGTCTGACTCTTTGCGAGCCCATGAACTGTAGCCTGCCAGGCTCCCTGTCCATGAAATTCTTAAGGCAAGAATACCAGAGTGGGTTGCCATTCCCTTCTCCAGGGGATCATCCCAACCCAGGGATCGAATTCAGGTCTCCTGCACTGAAAGTAGAGGCTTTACTCTCTGAGCCACTAGGGAAGCCCTTAAACACCTTTAAATTTCTTCATTAAGTCATAAACTCATATTTTTTTCAGTGGGAAATGTTTCCTGAAGAAGTGTTTTCTCAAATTCAGCCATAGGAATAATCGCTTTAAAAATAATACTTAACCATTTTAAACATATTGTCATTTACAAACGAATCCACTTGATAAGTTCCTTTGAAGCTAAAGTTTGAAACGTAATTGAACCATCAATTTCTACCATGGCTATTATTGTTCAGGAACACATAATTAAATGTGGATTCAACACATGGCAGAGAATCATGTTAACACACAAGCTAAGAAGAATGAGGTTATAAAGGTGTTTCTCAACAAACACTATATGAGGACGTAAAGGTGTTGTGTAGGGCTGGTCCTGAAGTTCAAGGAATTTTTCTAAGACAGTGTTTCTCAGAGGATAGCTCATAGGGCCATGTGCTTTAATAGCACCTGGGAGGCTTGCTAAAAATGCATTCCTTGGATTCGAGCCTGAGACTCTGTTTTAATAATCTGCCTAGATAATTTTATGCCTAGCAAAGTATGAGAATTTCTAACCCAGACTCGAACCACGAATTAAGCTTGTGCCAGAGATTAGAAAAATACTACAAGGAATAGCACAATGCAAGATAAGGGAAATCATGGTTTCTATAAGTCCCTGTAGAGACTGGTCGCTTCCGCTTTTCAGAGACAACAGGAATCCTGGTGCTAACTCATTATTTATATATAAGGAGAGCCAGCGGTTGTGTTTTCAAGGGATTGGCGCAGCCCTGGGACATTCATTATATGCAAAAAATCCCTTCAACACTGTTTTCTGAAATGCCATGATTAGAGAGGACAACTTTGAGGTGACTTCATTTTCAGTCATGTGATCTTCCTTTCCAACTCTTCTTTTTGGCATTCTTTGAAAATTAAAGTAATTCCAACAAGAGAAGTAGCAAAAGTTGCTAGGACTTTCATATAAATGATCTTAACTATGAAAAGGCAGGGTTGAATAATAGTAATAACTAACACTTTTAAAACCTTTTGGAATGCATTATCTCATTTTGCTTTGGATAAAGCATACCACGTAGTCATTATTATCTTAGTTCTCATGTGGAGATTGAGGTTCATAGTCTTGCTCAAGAGCATGCAGATAATAGGGAACAGAGCCATTTGTTCATTCCCCCAGCAAACAAATATTGTCTACCCAGGATTACAGAAATGAGTAAGACAGACCAGGTTCTTGCTCTTGGGGAGGTGACATTCTAATCACCAATCCAAGAGAATGCTAATCAAGGTCACGACCAAAATTCCACCCAATATCACCTCTATAATGAAACGCCTTCATCTGTCATCATGGCACCTGCCAACCTCAATATTCTTCACATCACCTATCTGTATCACACAGCATCTTGTGATACAGAGCTTAACAGGATTCTGGGAACCTGTGGGAGAATATGGTGCTAA